CAGAGCAGCACGGGACAAAAAAAAATTGTTGCACCATTTAATCTTGAATTCAAAGACGATTACTGCATCGCTCGCTTTTCAGATGCGCTTCTGTGGCCGTCTGGAATGCTGCTGGGTGAAGGTCTCCCTAAGCTATCGCCATCTCTCACGGTCCTGCCATTTCACAATCCACCGAGCACCTGTGTGGTGGACATTATCTCAGGCGCATTTCCTCCTTCGGCTGCCACTCCATCATGAATCTCGACCACCGGCTATCATCCCTTCTCAGTCACGAATGCTGCCAAAGCCATTAACTTCTCTTCACAGTCAAAATTAAGTCTCCAACCTCTGTAATTCTCTAATCCACAGTCTTTTTTTTTCTCTCATTGTAATTCCAAAATTGAATATGTCCACGCTTCTCTGTGCACTTTTGAGTTTTGGTAAAAAAAAATGTAATCAACCAGACTATGCGTCAATTGTGTTTTGACCGACCGTCTGCGTTGCTTTATATGGTTTCCAAATTTTGCTAAACCCTGTTTGTTTGGTATGCTTCTCTCTCTGTGTCCCCTGTTGTATCTGTGTTAGTTCCCCCCTACTTGGGTGTCTGTATATACATCTGGGGTTATGTGTTTCCTCTCTCTCGTAAATTTAGCTCTTCTGTACCTGATGATGGCTGCTTGTGTTGCAACCGAAACGTCGTACGCTATCATGTTATTTTATTATTTCTTATTTATACGTGACTTTACCGAAAAAAACAAAGAGTAAAGAGTAAAAAAATGTTGTCAATGTCAACGTTTCTGATCTATATGTCCTGGTAGATAGTACACACTGATTAAAGACATTAGATACATCAAAATTGTACTGCATTGTAACAGGAGCAATGCAGAACACATCAAGCACAGCTACTGCACTGTAGCTCGGCTCTGAGGCTCCACCTGTCTTGAAATTTATAATTTGGTTTGAAACAGCACCAGCTGGATATGTCTTTGTAAAGCATCCCAAGACGTGTGATCTCCACTGTTTAGTGTGGGCCTAAAAATCTTGACATCCAGAAAACAGATTGCGTCGGTAACTGATGTTACATTTAAGTTTCATGGTTCTATGTGGAGTTACTCTGCAGGTTAATGGAGCTGGTGTCTACACCACTGATGGGGGTCACCAACCTAATTTAGAATACCGTGTACACTGTGGATACTGTTCATGCTATATATATTCAATGTTTAACCTCTATGACAATCCATTGATGGAAGCTGTGTTGGTTATTGGGGGTTCTTTGATCATATTGCTGGTCAGTATTGGTCTGGGAAGTGGAGGGGTGCCGGACTGGTACAGAAAATATCCATGCACAGCTGCGGTTAGCCACGAGTAGGAATCAAGAGAGAACCACCAGGTTCATAGCCTAGTGCGCTAATGACTGCACCACTACTCCATATAAACTCATTATACACTTTGTGTGCTTTTGAAAAATTACATTACATAATGAAAAGCAGCATATCAATTTGCCTAAAGAAGATATGTGTCAATGAGTGCATATTGATTGTCAATATGGACCTGACAATCTAAAAAGTTCTCAAAGACGTATGGAAAGGTGCATGCTGGGAATTGCACAGAGATAGAAATGGGAACAGTCGGATCAAGAACGAGTATTAGAGACACCGTATTGGCTGATAAGTAAACAGACGTTGGCAGGACACACACATCACTCGCAGGGATTATGACCAATAGACAAGACTCTCTACAGAATGGCAGCTCAAGGAGGGAATTAGCTTGAGAGGATGCCCACCATGGAGATAGAGCGATAAGTTCAGCTCATGCGCACGAGAGAGAAACGGATTGTGGCATCACAGGACCACGAGGGATGCCAATGACGTGGGAAGACTTTAAGTCAGCAGTGGATAAATGACTAAAGATGCAGAATATAGTCGGTTTTCACGCAACGTGCGTTCCTCATCGAAACCAACTCCCATCATTATTGAAGTATTTATATACGTCGGGTCGGCGTGATCACAGCTAGATAATTGAAGACTGAGCAGCTAATTATATTATTCAAATATTATATAACTACGGTATATCATGTTTTGGGCTAATTGTAGACCAGTAAACTCGTAAAAATTTTGCGTTTACATTTTGCTAGCAGCAGCAGCATCAGCATCATCATCAGTCCCTTAACCATGGCAGTCGTGGGCGCATGAGCGATTACTTTTTTTGGCAGCCAAGCTCTCTCTCTCTCTCCCACATCTCACGGCCTCTTGACACGCGCACGAAGCGTGTCCTCGATATTCCCTTGACACGACGCTCGTCATCCGGCGTGGTCCATTGCCAGCCTCCTCTCTTCCTCGTCGTTCCTTCCAACCGTGGTGGGGTAGTGGTGGTGGTGGGGGCTGCAGATTGGTGTTTTAAATACCCCCCCCCCCGCCGCCCCCCCTGCCGGATTAGAATTGTGAGCGATGCGCCGTCGGAAATGAGGAGGTTCCGTTTCTCTCGCTCCTCGTGGTTCCGAGATTCGCGTGGCCTCCGTGAGCTCAGTCAGTCCCCAATCTCCCCCCCCCCCCCCCCGCTTTGCCCAACCCATTCTCTCCCGTGGCAGGGGGGGGGTCGTTTATTTAATTGTACTTTGTGTTGTTGTTACAATGTTTACCATAAGGACCAGGTTATGTTACACTAAGTACTAAACACCATACCTGTCAACGCATACGGCCTACCCGTATTCTTGTGCAGGGAAATTTGAGTGTTCAGGTCCATACGGCGTACAGCCGTTTCAACACGGGCAAAACATATTTTTGTCCAATTGCGTTTCTCCCTTGTGATGATGGGACTTTGTAGGATGAACTTTGAGATTTATAAGGGCACGGGGTGACCAATAAAGCCTGAATTAGTCTGTAATAAGGTCGGGCACTGATAAGGGGTTGACAGGTATGGAACAGTGATGATGATGATGGAGTTGACCGAAGCTGGGCACACCCGATGTTGGACCGCTCACGCCATTTCTGGTGTCTTGGGAGTCCATTCGCGGTGGTTTTGGGGGACACGGTTTGGATTCACGGCTTTCCTGGTGAGGCGTATCGGTGAAGATGTAAACATTTCCAGCCAAGGAAATGTCTCTTGCATAGGACAACCGCTCTCGCTCGTTAGTAACTCGGTTTACCGACCCTGGTGAGACGATAAAAGAGCCGAGGAGTCGACCACAGTGAACTCGCGAAGCGCTGTGTGCTTGTGAGGCAAGTGCTTTAACCACGGTGCCAAACGGCTGGGGTGTATTTGTGCTGTTGAGTTAATCGTATTCAATTTATAACTGTACCAAATTATGACACGAACCATTGTGTTCAAGTAATTTCAAGCATTTTCTTCAACATTTTAAACCGCATTATCCATTCTGCCATTATCTGCATATTGTGCCAACAGATGCATGGATTATGGCGCAATATTAAACAAGTACAGTGTCGCCCGAGATGTCGGCCACGTGAATTCCGTGATGCCGTTCACTTCTTTCAGACCGGTCCATTATGCATGACTTGAGAAACGTCTTTTACGCTTTAGAAATCAAGCATCGATGGCGCCAATTGCTCCGATTATTGTTGATAACTCTGTCTCACTTTTTGTTTAGTCCGTGATCTTTGGCCATGTTGTAGTGTTTGTGGCTGCTCGTGTTTACACAATTCGCTCGGCAGGGTGGCTGTGCTGCCGATACTGTGGGGGAGGAATACAATTGTACGTGACGTAATTGGCAAAAACTCAATCTCTGTTAAATCAGTACCAGTTGATCAAGTCTCCGAGAATAAATAAAATTTGTCAGCCTCCTGCATGCTGCCATTGTGTATGTGAATGCGGTATTTCCCCATGCCTTATTGTTTTAACAGTCTATTCCTCCTGGAACATACTGTCATCAATGCTAATTCATAATTAAAAGTTTTACTTTTGTGAGTGGGTTTTTATAGATACAGTCTCACTCTTTATTCCCTGCGAATAAAGAGTGTTCGACTTCATGATGTAAGAAAAATCGCCAAACGTAAGAAACTGCTATGATTATTGTCCTCAAAGTGTACATGTATTGAAGCAAGATTGTTGTGGAATATAATTGGGGTTGATGGATCGAATAAATATGGAACCTACATGAAACATCCATCTGACATAGCTATAAGAGGCAGTAGAGCAAATTGATGTCTGACCTATTCATACAGCGCATTGTGCCAGTAGTATTTTTTTTTACTTTTAATGAGTATTTTTCAGGAATACTTTTGATTATTACATTTGTTTGGTACTATATAGATGCCATTAGGTAACTATTCATATGCCCTTTTCAAAAGTTGTCATCAGAAAACGTTTTTAAAAATGTAATTCTCATGAGGTGCTACGGTGTTACGTGCTGTCCACAACACGTATTCATGCGATCTCTCTGTGACCTGTTTACATGCCCTGAAGAAGGGCCATTGGGAAAAAAAAACGCAGCCAATTAAATACCCTGATGCCACAGTGTTGTCGAGGAGTGTGCGTTTTCCGTCCATACACATGTCGATTATTGGTGACCCCATTCGTTCGCGTGGCTTTTCTCAGGCTGCCTGGGTTCCCTTTCGCATGCAAAGCAAATAAATAACCTAGCCAGGGGACTCGGAGGACATTTACGGAGCAGGACCCGTCCCAAAAAAAAGAACCTCGATGCTCCACACTTTCCCGAGCAAAAAAGAAAACCACCACGAGGGCAACTGGGGGTGGTTTGACCTCACTTCACCGCTCTGGCCAGTTGCAGGATGGTGAACGGAATACAAACCGAATTATTGCACCGGCTGCGTCGGACGGTGGCGGTGGGTTCACGGCACATTTGCAGTCACGTGATCTTACCCAAAATAACCTTCATTGCGAAATCTACTTTGATGTTCGCTGGACGCGAGCGCGAAGATTAAAATTCACTTGCCATGGGCGCGCACCGCACCGTCCATCCTCGCCGACATCCCACACATTCCCTCGCTCTGCCTCCCCATCCCCCGTCTCTCTCTGTGTGTGCGTGCTCACGGCCCCTCGCCTAGGCCGCTCCATCCCCGTGTTCTGCGTCGTGGAGCAGGGCGAGAGTCCCATGGACCTGGACGGCAAGGAGGAGCACGCTGACTTCGTGCTTCTGCGACGCGACGTGCTCTTCAACCAGCTGGTGGAGACGGCGCTGCTCTCGCTGGGATACTCGCACAGCTCGGCCGCTCAGGCGAGAGGTAACTACGAGAGAGAGAGAGCTCTTCAGTTGCAACAACAGAGAGAGTTATTCAGCTGCCCTTGCGGAGTGAGAGGTAACCCAGTTGCCCCGACAGAGAGAGAGAGAGAGCTGTTCAGCTACCCTCGCAGAGTGAGAGGTAACTCAGCTGCTCCGACAGAGAGAACCACTCAGCTACCCTCGCAGAGCCAGAGGTAACCCATGAACCTTCACAAGAGAGACGTAACCCAGCTACCCACGCAGAAGAGAAGTACCCAACTACCTACCACTGAATCCACTCCCTAGCCTGCTTGTCTGTGTGAAGCACAGACACTGATGAGCTTTTTCCCGAGGAAGGTCAGTTGGTTGAAACTTTATTTGTTATTTCAGCTCAGTGATGGTTAAAACAATCCCCCTGTTGTTTTATTCACACGGATCTATTGATGTGTTCACGAGGAGTTTAGTTCACGATAGTTAACACATTGTTCTCTACGGACGCCTCATTAAGAGTCATTGCTAATGACGCCGATTGACTTATTTTAGAACAGTTTTTTTCCTCCTTGTAGGTAAAAAAAAAATGTAAATTGTAATTTAGCAGCTGAAAGCTTCACTGTTCCACCACTCAGCCATCAGCACCGCACATTGTGGTGATGTTCCAGAGTTAAGCCTGCATGCCAAGCCTTCACAACAATTCAGCTGAAAGTTAAAGCTAATTTCTCCTGGTGTTCATGACTGCCAAAATTAAGCCTCAGCTCTTTGCAACGCTTATTGGAAGGTGATGTAGCCTTTGCCTTAAAATGTTTTTAGACGTCTGTCTTATGAGTTTGGAGTCACATAGCTTGACGCTATGTCTGACGGAGGCATTGGTAATTATACGTATTGAACTATTAGCTGTGATTAATCATTGCAGGCATACTCATTATGCGGAGTACTTGCCAAAGACTCAACACATATGCCAGAACTATGACAAAGGTCAGAATGTTTAGTTGCTTTAGTAATGTTACGGAGTGAGTTAAGTGTGCCATCCATAACAATTTCTGTTACCAGTTTTGCATGGTCATCGTTGAGTATATGTTTATTCACAGCCCTGCTGAATTCACTCGCACTGGGTATTGAAAAGCTGGACCGTGCATGTGACAAACCCCCCAGGATAATGCAGTTCTTTGGTCTGAGAATCAGGTTGTATGGCCACACCTGTCAACATATGGCATTGGTGATAAATAATGCATCGAGTTAAATTCTGCGGCAGCCTAATTGGTGCATAAGAAATTATAGGGAAAGCAGTGCGTGGATAAACATTATAAATTTTGTTTAGTCGCCTTTGCTCTGTTTTGCTGTATTGCTAAGCGTTTTCTCACCAAGTCAGTTGTGTCCGAAAAAATGTACGGTTGGGTCTGTGAGCATTTAATAATGCAACGTTAAGTTTGGTTGTGGATTTAAGTGCATTACAGTAGTTTGTATTCCAGCATTAAACAATTATATTTCCACACATCATTTACTGTGAATCAGCTTATATGTTATGAGGTATGATGATAATACAATCATTGTCACAGCAATGCTCTCACAAACCAAGGCCTAAATAAAATCAACATTTTAGAAACAATGAAAACCATTTACAAAGGAGCTGCGCTGCAATTAAATAAAGAAAGTACAAACTATATATTAAAATGGGAGTCAGAAAAGGGTAAGTGCTTTCCACAAAGTATACAAAGTATAATTACGTGTATATAGCGGAGCATATAAATATATCATGATTAAAAAAAGGCAAATAGCTACAGAAACGCCAAAAAAACAACTGACGCGATACGTCTCCTCACACGCCGTGGCCGCTATGCCGCCCGTAGGTCTCTTGAAGCTGGGAAACTGGAACCCGGTGCCACTGAAGAGTATCACCAACTCCCCCGAGGCCACCATCGGCGAGATGCTGCAGGACGTGTTCCACACAGCGACGCTCCGCATCTTCCTGCACAGGTTGGCACGCGACCACCCACTTTACACGTCAATGGGTACAAAAGTGGGCTGTGCCAGTCAGTACTCCTGTAAGCACTTTGTTACTCTGATAAATCAATGTGTTGAAAGTTATAGAAATCCAGGTCTGATATGTGAATGAATGGAAATGACTCTTTTATCTGAGGCAGGTGCCGATTCTTTACACTGATAGCACCGGAACATTAGCAGTTGGTGAAATCCACTTGATTTCTGGGGGCACTACCTCCTGACGTTCATAGCAGTTTTAGCAAAATGTCATCATACGTTGGTGTTAAAATTCAGTCAAGGAAATTCTAACGCCACCGGTGAGGAACTTTGTCTGTCGTAATTTAATCAACATATTGGAACGTTTAAATAATATCAGTGTAAATGTGACAATCTTGTCGGGTGGTGTAGGATTAACGGCAAGGATTTTTACATAAAGCTACCACGTGACCTTATACAAAAGCAAATATGTATCGTACATAGTTCTGCCTACGAAAACCTACCTTTTAAGTTAACACTTACTTTTTAGGTCATGCTGGCTCATAAGTCAGGACCTTTCTGCAATGTCAGAGTGGCCAATAATTGACCTGTTTAACCATGAAGCAGATATGGAGGGACAAAGTGTTGGGAATCCTGTGCACATGTTACTTATTACTATTCAAATTTCACTTCTTTCCACCCACCATAAAGATAATAGCGTAATCTCTACAAGAGGCTTGTTTACATGAGATATGGAAATTATTAAGTGCGAGGTCGCAGCTTGTCAAATCTACAGAACTGGAGCCGGCTTAATTTGGGTAGAGAGTTAAATTCGTTCTATAATCGTCATGAAAATGCCACTCAACAATAGCTCTGAACATCATTTCAAAAGTCAAACAGAAAATTTAAATGTAGGCAGCGATAATAAGTATACCACTGGATATATTTATTTGGCGAGGGAGAGACTGGATGTATTTTACTAAATGTGTGCTTTATGATGGCCAGTGGTGCTTACATGAAGATGGCAGACCTCAAGCTGCTGGGATGTGCTAACAGGTAATGAGGAGGATGGGTGCCAGGGCGGAGACCAATCTGTTGTCATCGGATTGCCTTCTCCATTAACTCCTTCATATGCACATTCTTTTTACTTCGCAAACTGCGTCGTGCATTTGAACATTCGTTTTTTTTTTTCATATCAACCTAGTTACGGCACAATTGCCAGAGTAGATCAGCAGGTTGTGTGTGGTCGGGTAAATAAAATCCGCTGTTTACAGAAAAGATTTGTTCAACAGGGCCCGGCATTATTGTAGAATATGTACGTTGAAGAACGATTATGGTGTGGCGGCATGGTGATTAGCGCACAACGCTGTGAACCCGGCGGCCCAAGTTCGATTCCTGGCCAGAGTAAAGGTGGTGAATGACATCTGAACTGGTGCTGAGGCCTCCCTTCACAACCCACACCGACCGACCGGCGTGGTGATATTTTGGCGTGATATGTGAGAAGGCCTGTTTTTCCAATTTTCAAGTTTATTTTGTTTAACCAGATGAGGATAACTCAAGAGGCCAGAATGAAGTTCTCAATTGCAAGAGCGACACGGGTCACCAAAATTACAAAATAAAAACATGAATTAAAATACAGCAATGATGCAAATAGAAATGAGGGCAAAAACAACGGTGTCACCTTGGTACATTTGAAAATAGTGCACAAACGAAAAAATACGTCAAATAATTAATCCCCTAAAGTGCAAAACCGGCTTGGCAGATTACTTGAAAACTCATCGTTGTACAATTGTGTTACAGAAACATGAAATGGATCTAGGCAAACTATTGTCTTAATATCTAAACAGACAAGGATATATGTCAAATGCAAAAAGAAAGTAGAGCAATTAATTATTATTTCTTTGAACACATGCTATTACATTGAAGAATGACCGCACAAATAAAACATGCGCAGGTTCATGGCCACAATTTAAAACCTTGCAAGGGCATCTGTCAGATTTGGAGCCACTATGACCATATCGGCAAATGTGGCTGATAGAAAGCGGTTGGGTTGATCCCTTTTGAAACTAGAAAATCATACAATACAACTCCTTCCTATATCTGTCCACGTAAAACAATAAAAGTATATATTTTTTACGCAACCATTGGCTCCTACAGCTGTCTGGGAGTGCATCATTTCATCAGCATTGTACGTATGTATGTTGAGCTTCTTTCACACCATACGTAGCCAACCATGTTAATCGGAGGTGTGGGGGAAGGACAACAAACTAAACACGAAAAGTAGTTCCAAAGAAATCAGTTTTCACTCTAGATGATTTAAAAGTGCATAGCTCCAGTGGCTTCCTAATATCGGAAAGAAGAGCGTTCCAGGTGGCCGCAAAAGCGCATCTGAAAGAGTGTGGTGTAGTGACCGACTTTGTTCGATGGCTACCCAAAAGTTTCTGCGAGGACGACCGGAATTGGCTTGATGTTTTATGTTCCTTGGCGAGATCAGCAAGATGTTGTGGTTCATTTGTGGCAAGAACTCTCTGTGTAAAGAGTGCGACTTTACAAGGCATTGGTTAATTACAGTATAGTACAAGCAAACTCTGTACCGGTATTTGACGTACAGGTTCTCATCAGCAAAGTCGTGCTTGTTTGCATCAATGCTGGGAAACTGCCAGATGTTATAGGCAGGGTGGCTCTGTCTAAAATATGTGTTCTAGTTCTACGAGAAATTAGAGTTTTCAGTTTCATTTATTAGGTATAACCCTGTGAGCCATGCGGCTCTTGACTCGGGTGCAACTGCAACAAAACAAAAACATGAACAAGAAACATCTTAAAGTGACTACACGCAACAGAAAAATCCTGTAAAAACAGCAAAGTCTTCCAGAAAAAACACCGTATTTCAACGCTGTGTGCAAAAAATCCCAGTGGGATGCAAGTCAAACAATAACAACCATAAGACAATGTAGATTAAAGTTATCAGGCTAACTATGTACTACAAAAAACAAACATGGCTAAACCAAAAAGTTTTCAAAATCACCAAAATAAAGCTATAAAAACAATGTAACAGAGATCATAGGAACTGTGATTCAAATTTTACAATAAACGATACACATACAGTAACATGTACGACCAAACTTTTCAGCCATAGTTGGCTGCATGAGTCACTCCATAACAGCTGGCGTATCAGTAGCAGAATATAAATTTTTCAATACACCATTAATGATCAGCACACTGTAATCAAAACTCAAGACCATACTTTGCAGCGGTCATCCGGAATGATACATTTGATTTCAGGCCATTCTGAATAGCAGTGGCAGCTAGGGGTGTACAACGCCTCGAGAGCAGTTTTGAGTGAAGATCTCACAGGTAGTGATCCAAGTTGCAGTTTAGTGGCGATAGCATTCCAGACCCTGGGGGCATCATTAGAAAGGCCCTTCCTCCAGTATTTGTACGGCAAAAAGGAATGTGAAGCTGGTAAATTAGCGACGACCTTAGGTCACATTTGTTCTTTGAAACAGTGAGAAGACCCAGCAGGTAGTCTGCTGATTTTTTTTGTAAGTACATCGTGAATAAATAAGATCTGATGCACAAGCCGTCGATCATTAAGAGAAGTTAAGTTTGACCCAATGTAGAGATCGCAGTGGTGGGTCCTATATGGGCAGTTCAATGCAAATCTTAAGGCCGAGTGATAAATTGAGTCAAGCTTCTTCAGTAAAGTACTGTGGGCTGATTTATATACGATGTCACAGTAATCAAGTAGAGGCAGTACGGTAGCTTTTATCAATTCCAAGCGGAGCATAGGGGGGAAGCAGTGCTTGTCTCGATACAGAAAACCAATTTTTACTTTTGTCTTTTTACCAATATAATCAATGTGATCTTGAAAATTCAGTTTTGAATCTAAAATGACCCCAAGATACTTATGGATATTGACTTGCTCTATTTGATGATTATTTAAGGAATATAAGTTTAACACGTAGTTGACTTCCACGACCAATGTTATTCATAACTAGCTTCTTTGCCCATCATAGGAAGAAAGCTGTAATATTTACGAAAAAATTGAGCAGAGTATAATCATCTTGTGTAAATTTAATGGCAGTGAATCTTGCACGAAAGTATGTCATCAAACACTTCACTGCATTTCACCGTAGCACTGTATATAACTGACCTTCAATTTGTTCAAATTCACTGCTCTGATACTTTATTCTCTTCTGCTTTCGGTCGCTGGGGTTGAAATAAATTGGAAATCGATGCAATATCTGGAAAATCACCAAGAAATGTCTATTTCACCATAATGTAGAAGCATAAATTAGACTTGCCTTTTGTCTCAAGCGCTGAAGAAATAAATAAAGACATCAAATCCACTTTGTTGCTGCATAGAATTATTTATTAGATTAACTTTCAATAAAGAAACGTGAAACTTAAAGCGAATTGTGAAAAAAAATATTTCCGCTTGACCTTCTGCGCGAGTGTAAAAATCCTCCCGCTCATGAATATTCATGACGGGGGGTGCGGCATGTGGAGTGACGTCACGCGCGTGACACAAACAGACATTCTTGGCTCATTATAGTAGTAATAAAGGTGTTTGGGTTAGATCACGTAAATATAAATACGTCGTTAACCCACCACCACCGACAGAGCCAATTAGTAAGGTTTGTCATGTAAACAACAAATTGTAAATGTTGTGGGTTTACTCTTCAACACACCAGTGTGCTGATGTAGTAACAAATTGGCACGTTTGTTTACGTGACAAACCTTACTAATTGACTGTGCCGGGTGGTGGTGGGCTCACGACACATTTATATCTACGTGATCTAACCCAAAAACCCTTATTGTGAGCAATTTTTGAGAATTACGCAAAATAATAATCCGTGACATTGTGGCGAATATAAGTAACTAGCTGTACTGCCCGGCTTCGCCCGGGACTTGGATTCACCACGCCCGGCCGCCTTTGTCTCCCCAGTGGCGATGCTCACACACCACACCAGTTACTCGTTTTAGGCTTAGTCGACCTAGGGGAGGCCCAGGACCGGTTGAAATAATCGTCTCCGGTGGTGGCCGTGAGCAGAAATCGAACTCGGGTCGCCGGGTTCGTAGCGCAGCGTAGCGCTAACCACTACACTACAATGCGTTATGCTTCCACGTGCGCGGGTCACGTGACAGATTTGACGTCACAGCTCACTTGCCGTGCAAACAATATATGTATTATTGAGCTACCCCCCCCCTAAAAAAAAGTATATTTTTAGAAATTTTCGCATGGTGTTCAGTCTGGAAAGTACCCACATGGCAAATTTCAAGTTTGTTGCATGTCGGGAAGTACGCTAAACATTTTGAACAGACACACACATTCACAACTTTCCCTTTTATATATATGGAGATAAAATAGATACACGTAGATTTTTATATTTAGTTGCTTTATATCTATAGACCGACGCTCACGATTACAACCTTTTGAAATTGTGCTAACATTGTGGTACGTCACACACTGCAGTGCTTTTTATGTGCTCTTGTTAAGATTAAGCATGCCGGGGAAAGCCTTGATCCAGGTCAGCACCTAAGCCAAGTGTTGAACCAATAACTGTTGAAGCAGAAAACCGCAACTTAATTGGAGCTGGGATGTAGTGATAATCATAGGCTACACCTTGGGGTGCTGTATTTGATTCCTTATTTCACCTGAAAACAGTTCTGATTGGTTTCTGACGCTGATACAAAGTAACTGTAATGTCTGCACAAGCACGTAGCATAAATCATTCAAAGCAGACTAAATTATTCCTCTGCGTTCTTTTACGCGTCATTCATTGAGTATTTTACAGATCGGTGTTACAATGCTATGCGAATCAGCCTTTTTAAACGCATGCTGTTCGATGATCAGATGTTATTGGCGAGTGCATTTCGTGTAAGCTATGGAAAAAAAAGCATCTGGCAGCTGAGCAGCATGTGTTTAACAAGCCTGACTCTGCTGATGAAATGCAGAAGGTCAAAACGGGTCCGGTCTGCTTGCTTGAACAAGTGCTGCTTGATAATATGGGATTCGTGTGCAAAGCCAATAGGCGGATGGACATTTTTTACGTGGAGATGCACAATAGAGTTGTGCTGACATATGCGATCGCCCGCGATGTCCCACGGCAATGCGAACTTGAGTTAATTCAACAGTGTGGAGGACCATTACGGACACCTCGCTCAAAGCACCGGCTCCCGTTGCTTTCCGTCTTTGGTGACACTGCATTGGCAACAAGGACTGTGGCCTTCAAAGGAGAAATCACATAACAGGCGACGTTTTGTGCAAGGGTGCTTCTTCATGGCACAAACAGTACACGTGTGTTACAATTAAGCGCCATCACCCAATTAACGTTGTCCAGTATATATCTGTTTTCCACTTAAGGCAGCGCTATTGCCGAATATGTCAAGTGGACGCTGGTCATTGTTGTATGAGTGTGTATGTAGTATGAAATGTGCATCCAACGACGAATGTTATACACTACGTATGGCGAAAGTATTCTCAGAATATGGTGAGCCGTTCGTTTTGAAAAGCGGATGGAACAGAACCGTTTTTTCATTCATTATAGGGCATCACAGTGGTGAGATGTTAACATATCACTTGGTATGCAGGAGGTCGTGAGTTCGATCCCAACCCTGACGCCTGTATAGTTGGAATTTGCGTGTCTCTCTTCCCGTGGTCGCGTGGATTTTTCTCTGGGTCCTCCAGTTTTCCCCTCCACATTTACAATCAACGCGCCTTTAGAGTATTTGCCTGCTATACATTTCCACACGATGATAAGCCACTTCGTTGAGCTGTCATTTTGTGACCAAGTCGCTTCTGAAAAACAGCTCAGTGTGCCTTACCTGGTAATATATAATTGAAATAGTTAGTTACAGTCACCTAGTTCGCCACTATAAAAGGGTAACAAGCCCCAACAGACTCATCGTCCATTTAAAGGACGTCAATTAATAATGACAGTACCGGGCCTGTTTATTTATATACCATGGGACGTACAAATTAAACATTCTGATCGTGTTTTCCGATGAAAAAAAGTACACCATTTCATTTTAAAGTCTTATTGCAAGGCACACCGTAGTTTTAATATGAGGGCACTTACCAAGGAAAATTATTCAAGTGAGAACATTGGTATACATTTAAAACGCATACATCCTCATTGTCTATACTTGGAAGATAAGTGCATAGATGGATACTTGCGTATCGCCTGCCAGGTTGAAATTAATTGTATAAAATAGTCTGATATTTCTGGTAACGTGCATATAATTGGCATGTGAGCTTCAAATAGTCATGCATTTAATTATTTTTGTAACTTTCAGAGCTTCATTACTAATCTGTTGGTGACTTTTTAGCGACATTATTGCGTGCGTCCATGTGTGTGCGTGTACGTGTCTGTGTGTATGTCTTTGTATTTGTATGTTAGGTCGACTCAGCCTCAAAATGAGTACATAGTGCGGTGTGTAAACATCGACATTAGGGAGCCAAAAGCGGCCGGGCGTTGTGCTGGCCACTCACCTCCCTCGTATAACATGCCGGCCTTTGTAGGTGCTCGCTAACAGCACTTGTTCCTGCAGTCTGTTAAGGCTATATGAGGGATCTTTGTCTTGAGTTTGTGTGGGGAGCGGTACTATTGTAGTTAGCACACTGCGCTACGCACCCCCCGGCAACTTGAGTCAAGTCCCTGGCCATGGCTAGCATCAGTGGTGAATATATGAACTAATCCCAGGCCTCCACTAGGTCTACTCATACTTAAAGAGTACCTGATGTGGTGGGGCATGGTGACAAAGGCAGCTGGGCTTGGTATTAAGTGACATAGCTGCTTGCTAGCAGCATTTGCCCCAACAATCCGTTACGGCTACATGGGGGGGGGGGTCTTTGTCTTTGCGTCGTGTTGGTTGCGCGTGCAGTTGCTCTCGACTGGAGGATCTTCCTTCGGAGCAGTGGACCCACACGACCGTCCGGAACGCACTTCGAGAACTCCTCCGGGAGATGAACCAGAGCGCCCTTGCCAAGGAGTGTCCCCTCTCCCAGGTACGTTGGATTGGTGCGCATTGAGACATTAGTGGAAGGCGCCTTACAAATCAATGTAAATTATTATTTAGTTTGTTGTCCTTCCCCCGCACCTCCGTACCTTGCGAAAGACGTTAAACATACGCACGTACGTACGGTACTGTAAAAGTCTTCATCACAGGGGGGCTTGCAGGCAAGCATGTCACTAAAAGCCCTGTGCGTGTCTGGTACCTGTGTTATATTCCTAGATTATTGTCCCATACCACAAGGTGCACTCGGGGGAAAATAAACAAAAAAATATATTCTACATCACTACTCCGTAAGTTTTCACAGTTGTACCGTATAGCTCTCTCATCTGTTTCTGAGGTTACATCGCGTAGTTTTCAGCACGACGTCCGACGTTTTGCTCCGCATTCTGATTATTTCAGGAACTCCCAGCACGTTGAGAGATACGCCGCAAAGCACGCCGAACAACACTCGGCACAACCAGAAAACATATCGGAGAGCTATTTCTCTTTTTTGTACACGGGTTTTATAGCACCCCATTGCACACCGGAGCCAGGTTTCAGCTATCTCGCTTGTGGGACCCGCGCGTCCATTTGTGGGAGATACTTCGCACCCATTGGTGCAATAGCCGCCAATCAAATGTGGCCTAACTCGACAGCAAAACGAAACAATGTGGCAATCAGCGTGGTTGTTGAGCCAGGAAACCTTGCGGAGCTGGCACTGTTGTGTGCTCACATGTTCTGCAATCAGCTGACCTGGACAATGGGATTTAGCTCAGGGCACATTACTGGTTTAGTGCAGGATTTTCAAAAAGGTGAGTGAATTTTTTTCCGACTGACCAGCAAATGAGTTTCGTGTACCACGTGGAGACAAGGAGTGCTCTGGGAGGAATTAAGCTTGGTTCGCAGTTAATCCAGTATCAACCAAAAGATGACATTTGTGACTTCAGATTTAGTAAATCATTAAGATACAAAATAATGATATGTAAATATTAATAACTGTTCAACAAGGTAAATATTACAATATGCTTCCAAAAACATTCGTTGCATATACCTTTATTAAAATATTTTCTTGTTTTTTTACGGAGGTTTTAAATGTTGTTAAACTCAACTCCCAGAGATGGCACAGTATGTAGCATCTTAGTGTGGATTAACATGCAGATAGCACATTATCCATCTAGCCTCCTCACATTTAGTTTAAACAAATGGAGGTATATTTCTTGCTCAAGCAGATTGTTTCACACTCATTAGGTCTTAGGCAGGAAATTTTCCTGCCATTCTATCTAAACGTCCTTTCTGTGACATTTCACAACATTTGGTGGAAGTGGGGATATTGTGTGAAGATCATGTTGATGTGATGCATCCTGCCAGAAGGTTTTATGGCCAATTTAAACATTAGCCATGTGCCCCACTAATACTCACATTAGGTGATTAGTGGAGCTGCTAAACAGATGTGAAAAAATGCTCGGCAAACATTTGCTGGGAAGCTCACACCATTTTTAATCAGGCTTATTGTTATATGCCTCATACTGCCAGCTCCCACAACTCATTTCTTTCACGAACTGATTGCTGGCAAAGCCGGCAGAAATTTGGCATTTACCATAATTTCCATGATGGTGCTTTCAAATAAAAGAACAGTTTTACATTTCTTCACGTTGCATTTGAAATGTTATGTGAAATAATGCCTAAAATGTATTTATCCCTTGTTTTCTAATGCATTAAGAGTCATGTAAATGATGGCTACAATTCTGTTTATTATCAGCTACGTTTATTATTTTATCAATCTGGCTATATATTTAAACAAAAGAAATCAACGCAGTTTCTTGATTGACATTTCGCAGTATATGTATGTTATCGCGTTATTTAAAACAGAAACACATCCAATAAAGTCCATTAAAAAATAAATTGAATTTGATTTGAGTGCTCATGATCACATTTCACAATTATCCTTAATATTATTCATTTATGAATAAAATATTGGACCGTAATTTCTTCAGGCTTTTAAAAAGCAAGCGCTGAAACCTATTCCCAAGAAAGAAAATTGGTTTTTAATAATTCCATAAACAAGTTGACTTTAATTTGGACCTCCGTAAAATGTACAACACGTAAAAGCATTAACATTTAACGTATAAGTACATTTGCCGGTGCGAGTTTAGAATGATTTTGTGCGCACTGTCTCATTGTGCAGCCTGCGCATGGCCGTGTGCCATGGGGGCGCATAGCCGTCTCGCTGTCTCGAGTCAGGGCGACCTCAGATCATCGCGTGCTACAAAACCGCCGATAATTATTAGTCAATAGCACGTGATAAAGATTCACGTGCACTCTGCACACGACAGAGAAAACGATTTTGCTTAGTGCCAGGTAAACGTGGAATGTCGTTTTTGAGTGCATTTCACTGCCTTGTGTTACTTGTGCCTGTGTTTCTGTACGGTAATCGGTTACCTGCAGCTGTGAATCAGAGGGTCATGTGCCTGTGCATCACGTGAACGCACCTGTGGCTCATGTGAAAGTTATAATACTCAATCCGGCCTTTTCTTTCGTGGAAATGTGCAAGGTGTTTTATTTTGTTGTGTGATACAAATAATGGCATTGGGTGAAGGATTACAAAAGATTCAAGCTGTCAGTACGCATCTAAAGTGTGATTAATCACTCAGTGTGTTATGAGCATCCATTCACATTTCCAAATATCATTGTCATCAGCAGTAAATGCGTGAGACTATTCTGAATTGCTTCTATACAATGCTTATTACTATAATCGTTAAGTCAAATATAATATTATATTCTTGGTTCTTTCGGTAAAGTCACGTAGAAGGGAAACAATAAAATAATAAAAATATAAAACAATAAAATTCTCACGACGTTTCGACTGCAACACAAGCAATCATCAACACAAGCAATCATCACACCTGATGATGATTGCTTGTGTTGCAGTCGAAACGTCGTGAGAATTTTATTGTTTTATATTTTTTATTATTTTATTGTTTCTCTTCTTTCGTGACTTTACCGAAAGAACCAAGAATATGAATCCCTGCAAGTCACGAAAGCTTTAAATAAAATAAATATATAATATATTTTTTTCTATCTTCGCCAACTAAGCCAGAGTGTTTTTTTTGCTCTGTGTTCTAATATGTTTAATATTGGTCTGGGAGTGCTGCCTGGTTAAACACACTTTTGTGTTGGGAGAGAAGAACTAAACACTTACGTTCCTGGATGACGACCATGGAGTGTGCAGCCGTTGAGCATGCATGTGTTGCGACCGCACTGCAGCTTGGAGGCCAGGATATGAAGTGGGGAGAAATTCCTTGCACCAAGGACCCATGCCATCGCACGTTACGCCACTGGCTAGTGTCAGATTATGGTGCACTGGGTACATTATAGTGTTTAGCGCTAGAAAGTGGGACAATTGGTCCCCAATTGTTTAAATGCCAGGGTGTGACAGGGAAGTTGGGAACAAACTGGCGTTGTGTCACACCCAAAGCGGACTATCAAAAATAATTGCTGTTCACCGCTTTATTAAACCGCATGCAATGAGTGCTTACGGATGTTTTCCTTACATTTCAAACTTTTAATGACATATAAAAAACGTGATATTGTATATTTGTATGTTTAGTTTTTTAGACATATTTTAAAATTATGTTTAATCATATCGATGTATATAATGGCACAAATGATGTAAATTGCCTTATAATTAAAGCAAAACGTTTACGTGTACAATACAGCACATGGACATATTTACTTTAATAATAATTTTCATAAGCAAGGGTGGAGTGGTAATTAATTGGTTCACGTACCCCACTTAGAAGCCTGCTGCCTGAGTTCAATTCCATGCCACAGCTAACAACAGTAGAGAGTGTATATCTGAGCCAGTCCTGGGCACCCTCCACCCCTTCACCAACCCACAATGGCCAATGTGGTGAAGTATGGTCAAACAATTCATATGACCAACGTAGGATGGGGAGGCCTTCATCTAGAAGTGGATTTACAAAACGTTCATCTTTTTTGTTTTGTTGCGGTTGTACCCGAGTCAAGAGCCGCATGGCTCACAGGGTTATACCTAATAAATGATATGAAACTGAAACATAACTTGTGATTTTTTTTTATTTGCCAAAAATTACAAGGCAATATTTCAGGTTTTCTGGAAAAAATACACACACTAATGAGGATGACATTTCAGTATGGGAATTTGACGCATCGCAGATAGATATGACCATTGTTAAAATGTTTTATATGCTGCTCTGAGACACATGCTCTGCAGAGGAGTTGCAACTGCTTAAGTTGCAGCCTTTCGTAATTGTGTACTAATGCAATAAAGTCCTGCGTGCTTGGATGATAAACTAATTGAGAAACAGCCCCAGTTGTGCCGGTGTTGACAAACTGGTGCTTATGGAATTGGCAGTCAGCAGGTGGGGAGATCAATTTATGTTTGTGCTTGTGTAAAATTACCACCATAATCTTCCCACAGAGTATGATCTCCTCCATCGTGAACAGCACTTACTACGCCAACGTCTCTATGGCAAAGTGCCACGAGTTTGGACGATGGTACAAGCACTACAAGAAGTACAGAGGTATGTTCCATTAGACCTTGGTGCTTGTGAGAATGTGTATAATGCACTTGGGGTAGTGTTGCGGTTTAGCATGCTGTGCTACGAAACCAACGACACGAGTTCGATTCCTGCTCACACCCAGCACCAGTGACGATTATCCCTGGGCCTGCCCTGGTCGACTCGGCCTCAAATGAGTACCTTGTGCGATGTGCAAACATCGCCACTGAGGCGGGGTGCTGGCCACCCAGTCCCTCGTGTGCCTTGTCGGCCTTCATAGGTGCTCGCTAACAGCACTGGCCCCTACAGCCTGTTAAGGCTACATGGGGGATCTTTGTATGCACTTGGAGTGGAACAAGGGTTGCCATCCATGATGTTCAAAAATAATAGGGTATATCATGGCAAGAAGGCTATGCGCATTGTCTTGAGGGGTGTATCATTATGTAACTGGCAAAAAGTGAGCTGTAATGTTCTGGTAAACAATCCAGACTTCCTAGGACAGCCACCTCAAAAAGAGAAAAACCCTGGCTTAAGTAAGGAGAGGTGGCAACCCGAGGTAGGAAGGTTCTATATCCCCCCCACCCACCCACTCACATTTTCCCACCACACCGCTGATTCAGCAAAGTGTTGTGCTTCTGGATCAGGATTTCATAAAATAATAACTTCTAATATATAATTTTTACATGCCGGTGAAGTTGCTTTAGGGATGAAGGGAACCCATGACATACAACATGAACATATATTTTTTATTCTGCATACAGATTTCCCTCGCTTTATGTGGTAGATGCATTCTGAAAAAGGGTGCACAAAGCGAACGAGCATGAGACAGCTGTCTGACGAGTAGTGCCTAAAGTACACGCACAATGTTGTCCCACGTCCGACTGCATAGCCGCATATGAGTGACTTGGAACGCATAGAGAGAATTTTGGGCAAAAGTAAGTTAAACCACATGTACACGAAATCACACAAACTGAACCTGTACATCGCCAGGATTTTGCTAACAGTCATGGTTATTTGTGATTGACACTAGTCAACGATTTGAATGTTTCGTCAGTATCCCATGATAATATTTTGGCTTTCCTGACAATGCTTAATGTCAAAGTAAAAAAAAATGAAAAGGTCGTTATGAACATTATGCAACAAACATTTGAATCAGTTGGTTCACTTATAATCGTGAGATTAGTGGTTTGAGATCGATGTGTTATAGTCTTTGAACTTGATAAACTAACTGCTTTCTTATCAAAACATTGTATCCTCAGCCAATCAATGTTTCTGTCATATCATCTCCTATCGGGGGTTATTCTGGCTCCAACAATATCACATTAATCAGTTTACGTTTTGGGGGAGTAGAAAATAGTTTGTAGACGCACACTGTACGAACTTCTCGACGCACAGAATTACCACAAAGCTATGAGTGCATATCCAGGTGGTTGAGTGGCCTAGGTGTATCAATCTGCCCATTAAAGGCACTGGATACATTCCTTCTTTGACTTTCTTGTAATAGTTTGCCTCAAAAAAAACATTGCCAGTTAAAATTTCAGGCACACATCTCCCAGTCTGAACCATTTTAAATGAAGCCTCGTCCCCATATCATTCAACTCAGAAAAAACATCTGACTTGCCTCTTTGAAATGTAAGGTCTTTTGCATTCCAGTGTTATTGGGGAAAAAAAACGATCGAAATTACTGGCAATGTTCACATTGCCCACTAGGAGGGGAAATGGTGTCTGTTGTACTAATGCGACGTGCAATTCTGGATCATCCGGGGATCTGTAAAGCATCGGAACGAGACCGCAGAATGTGACTTAGGCTCCACGTACAAATTACTCTACATGTTAAAGCAAAATTGTAAATATATTTCCAGGTTCAAGTTACGTTTATGAGTGTCATACCATGAAAATGAGAAAAAACGCGGTATCACTTCAATCTCAATGTGCTTGCGATACAAAACACATTGTAATGATTACAGATAATCGATCATGGTAAACCAAATTCATGTTATTCATGAGAGCTATCAGTTTAAATGTATGTCAGTCGGGGAAAGTTATGGTAAAAATCACAAAATGTTGTAGTGCATGCCCAGGTGTGGTCAATCTTTCAACACCTGCTTTTCACTTACAAGCTAACATATTTTTTGCGGTATTTCATATCACTTTCGACCAATGTAATATTCGCGAATTATAACTCGATCCACGGATTTGCGATCGAGCGAAGTTCGAATGTTTAATTAAAAACTTTGCGACCGTGCGTCAACTCAGTGCGAACTGCACGTGTCGGTAACAACACATGTTTGTTGCGACGCTTTTAGCCAGAGCAGATGGACAAGACACGATGTCATTGGCAAGGCTGTCGGGAAGGACAAATGCCAGCCCCAGCCCCAATCATCATCATCACTTGTCGGGCGGCAAGGACCCGGCCTCACCGCGGCAGCTCTCGCCCACGCAGCTCTCGCCGGGCCAGACACCGCACCTCGCGCAGACCTCGCCGGGTCCTCCCCAAGGCCTCCTCCCTCCGCCGTCTTCCCAGCTGCGCAGCCCGCTGTCTCCGCTGCAGCCGCTGGTTGGACCTGGCATGATGCCCCCGCAATTGGTGAGCCAGCAGATAGCCATGGCTCAGTTCCTAAACCAGCAGCTGGCGGTCAGCAGGCTCCTCGCCCACCAGCAGCAGCATCACCACCAGCAGTTCCTCAACCACCCGCCGCCACCGCCGGGCTCGCAGGGAGTGCCTCCGCCCGGCGCGTCCATGGGCTCCGCCGTGAGGGCCTTCAGCAAGGGCTGCTCCAGCGAGATGCCCAACTCGTCGTCGGACGTCGGCCTCGACATCTACCAGCGGGTGCGCGAGGAGCTCAAGCGTGCCAGCGTCTCGCAGGCCGTGTTTGCCCGTGTCGCGTTCAACCGCACGCAGGTGAGTGGCGTTGTGGTGAACGGGGTCCCCCACATGGCGTTTGCAGACAAAGAAAAAACACAGCCAGTGAGTCGCAGTGAGATCAGTTTGCCTGAAGCTGCGACGCAACCATTGCCAACCAACGGTTTGCGTAGCCTGTTGAGTGTGCAGGCGGTGCAACTTCACCAGGGCCCATGGGCCGGAGTGACTCAGATGCCGAGATAGAAAGAGGGGGACAAATTGGACAAGACACCCCCACCCCGTATATAATTCCTTGCACCAGGGCCCATGCCAACCATGCTACACCTGCTTGACCACCAGGCAGTGCAAAAAGGGGTAACATTGGATTTGCTTTAGACGTCACTTTGTTCATTCCTGGGCTAGCTTCTGGAAGTGTGTATCAAAAGAAGTAGATCATAAGTCGAAATATCAAACCGGAAGACTCTTAAATGATGGAAAAAAAAACACATTTGGATCGCTTCATCTCTTCAGAAATCTCAACATCCGTATGCCTGCATCTGTCTCAGGGTCTGCTCTCTGAGATACTCCGGAAGGAGGAGGATCCAAAGCTGGCGTCCCAGTCTCTGCTGGTGAACCTTCGTGCCATGCAGAACTTCCTCAACCTGCCCGAGGTGGAGAGGGACCGCCTGTACCAGGAGGAGCGCGAGAGGAACATGAACCCAGCCGGGGTGATGGCGGCCAGCAGCATAATGCAACCTGGCAGGAACTTCTCACCACAGGTAGCGCTTCTGCTCCCACTCCTGTGAGCCCCGTAACCCACAGTTCATTGCTGTGCTAAAATTTCCATAGGGCATGGGGTCCCCTGAGGCTTACTTTCACTCAAGTCAAAGTATGTCCCCTTATCCAAACAAGCATGTGGCTGTGCTCACCTCCCAAGCAGGTGATGGAAATTCCACATTCCCATATTAGAGATCAGTCTCTTCATACAACAACCACCGTTGACTTTCTGCAAAGTGGCACAATTTTTGTTATGCTGGGCGGTGTGGACCCCTGACCAGGATTTAAACTTATGACCTTGCAAGTGGGAGTGTTCTGCCACAGTGGCACCTTTTCCAACCCGTATGATGCCGACCATTTATCTTCAACTGTGCTTTCCTCTCACGAAGAAACTCCTTTATGCCTAGATGAAGCCCAAAGTACACAATGCTGCAAAGTATAAGGTCATTTTATTGCAAGGGTTTAGTGATCAGATGAATTCGTTGACATTTATTTTGGCAACCGCCGAAAGAGGCTTCTGCTGAAACTGAAATTCAACAGAGACAACTCGGTCCAGGACCCAGGAAAGGATGAGCTCAGGCCTGAAAAAGTCACCAGATGCCAGATAAACATTTGTCATGAAGAAATGAAGCAATTTCTGCACGTCGGCAATCTACACCGTAAAGTTTCACGTCACCCGTTTGCAATGGGCCTGCCAAAGATCCTTGTCGACAAAGGGTCATAATCCATTCCAAATTTGGTCAGGTATTGGGGATAAAAGATAATCACAGGCTGAGGAAGAGTCCTCGGTTCTTCTGGTGCAGGTGCGGTGGATGCTTCATTGGTATGCTGTGCAGGGCCGACTTGTCAGCGACAAACATACTGCAAGCAACAGCTGTCGCCTGCAAAGAAGCCTTAAAGAACAAATGTCCAAAGCTGCACGAATGTCTGTCCGCCTTAGCCGGAACAGTTCTGCACGAGGGGTACGTGCACGCACACACTCCTTGGGTACCCTGTCCGTTTTCTGAACGCAGACGATCGTTCGAGATGGTGTGGAACAGAGGTTGTTAAACCTTCGTTAGGTTGAAGACCCCTTAGGCGTTGGAATCTTCCCTTGAATTTGCAGAAAATCCCTGAAGTCCTCGTCATAGCAAATGGCGTTCACTTATCGTTTACGGGGACATTGCAGCCTGCGTCTACGACTATGCTACTGTTTGAGCCAGACGAGCAGGGGATAGGAAGGGCTTGCTAAACGTGCAGATCTGTATTTGCGCATCCATGACTCTCCAGCACCTTGCAGACCACCTGCAGACCCCTTTGGATGTTTTCAGAGCCTTGCCTGTGGGGGTTGGAGTGGTGGCACAGTGGTGAGGGCACTCCACTAGGAGCGTGAACGGCGAGTGATAGCTGAACTTGTCCTGGAGCCCCCCACCCCCCCCCCCTTTTTTACCAACTCGTACTGACAAACGTGGTAAAGTATGATTACAAACCCCAATGATGTGATGATGGTGTGCGAAGGCCTTCATCCAGCAGTGGACTGACAAACGGCTGTAAATTACTATCATTATAATAACTTTTTGAGAATCCCTTCTGGAGAGCATCTTATTGATTGATGTAGGTTCTCACATATATTTAGCAATGTATTGCATGCTGTTTCCTCTCCACAGTATGTTTTTTTTTTCCACTGAACATTTATTGGAAAGCTAACACAGGTGTTGATAATCCATCTTGTTACAGTTACAGACCATTAAGAAAACAAATGGAGTATTACAGGAGAAGAATGGGGGCTGACACAAGAAAATTCCAGCCAACCAATTCCAATGTTTAAAATAGCCATAATTTCACTGACTGTTTTTGTTCATTAAATGTATAGATAATTATACATATATTGATACATTCTATTCAACCTGCATTGCCCCAAATACAGGCGAGGCAGTCGAATGGCATTGTCTCATTGGAATTCCTTTATTCGGTGTTGTAATGATAATAACCCTAAAACTTCATGTCTGATGAAAATAATAAACATTCTAAGATTTATGTTTCTTCATCAAGGAAAAGAACCAGTCGAAAAATGATGGTAAAAGAATGAATGGCAACACTATAACTGACAATATTGCCATCTTGAAGCACTGAAAAATCCTACACAAATCTCTCCCTCACTTGTTTTAAAAGTTGCGTGTGCTTTTGAATGGATCCCAATTGTGATGTGTGCGTGTCACGGTTCTTGCAAAGGTTAATGTAAACTCTACGTGTACCGTCATGATGTGTGTGTGTGTGTGTGCGCAGACGAAGCCGTTTGCCATGCCCCTAGAGCACTGCGTAAAGGTCGAAGATGGTGTGGGCCAGGGCATCACGGCCATCATCTACGATGAAATCCAGCAGGAGATGAAGCGTGCCAAGGTATCGCAGGCCCTCTTTGCAAAGGTGGCAGCAATGAAGAGCCAGGTGAGGGGCTTTTGAGAATTCCATAATGGAGACACAAAGTTGATTATCACGAGTAATGGGGAACCGGTGCAAATTTTTGTACGAAATAAAAATAAGCTACGGAATTGTTGTGTATGTATGCATGCTTACATGTCAACTATAATACAACGTTTTGTTGTTTCGCAATATGAAATAGGATATTAAAATATATATTAAATATAAGAAAAGTACTCTGTAGGTTTTGTACCGCGTGTTGTTTGGCGCGAGGAACTTGAATTAGTTTCCCATGAAGCTGCAGCACACTCAGAGAATCTTTTGATATCAGGCGACTGGTGCAGGTAGCTAAGCAGGAATGGTCATCTATGCAGAAATTCACCCACAGTAAATCCATTCTAACCTCCATTATCCTGCTATGTGCTATTAACCTGAAATTTTAAATTGACTAAGACAAGGGAGATGAATTAATTAAATTACCTGACTGTTCCTACATATGAAAGAGTTGACCTGGATTGGCAATTGCAGTCAACACGACAGGTTTTATTCCTTTAAATCAGAGACGTGAAATGTGACTCATGTAGTAGCAGCAGCAGCAGCAAAATTACATGGGTGATCCTGGGAATGTAGGTTGCTTGGTTAGTGTCGTCATTAGTTTAGCAGTTCATTCACTAATTTCAGCGTTTTTAATGCGCATGTAGAGATATGTGGGTGAATATTTCCCAGGAGCACAGTAGCAAATGATTTGATGTCTATGTTTTATGCCTGTTAACATATCCACGAGAAATAGATTAATCAATTAACATATGCTCAATTATTACCAAATGCGTAAAGTAATAAAGTTGGTTGAATGATGAAATAAATGTATCTTGAAATATAAAAAGCCAATATTATTTTAAGTCGTGGGCCAAACTTTACTCTTCCAAAATAAGGGATGAGTTGGTAAAACATCATTTTTCATAGGTTGAAGCTATTAATCCAAAATCTTAACCAAAGTCCTTCCTTTTAAAATTGTGTATTTTGAATGTATTTCTATTTTGTTTCTTCCTGTTTCATAATTGTAAGGCCATTGCGAGGTTAACATCTCTGGACATTATGTAAAAAATATAGAATAACTTCTGGTGCTGTGATTTTATATATATATTGTTTATCTCACTCTCATAGAATTCACTCAATTGTTAATACAAGTACTGAGGTGTATCTGCTTTGCAGTCATCTAACATAAAAATGTCAGGCTTTCAAGCTGAAGTGGATATATTATTTGTAGATACAAGCTTCTGCAACATAAAAAAAATTACTGGGCTCTTGACCCATACTTAGTCTGCTTCTGGGCATGTACAATCTCTGGCGAGCTTCTTTATATTCACACACGATTTGCAGTGGAGTCAAATGTTGGTGCCGTCACTTGTTCTCAGCTTGCTACTAGCATAGCGTGCCTGGCATGGGCTCTGATGCTAGGAATGTAATGCCCCCCCCCCCCCCTTCGCTCTGCGATATCCCCTTCTCTTTGTAACCTGGCACCTTGGCCCATTCGGCACGTGGTGCCGTAGTGCAGCTACACTGCCTGCATATTTGACAGCTGCACCACTGTGCCATTGTCGAGATGAGCATGCGGTACTGTGGGCGTTTTGTGAAACACGCTTATCGCGCGGGAGATTCACAGTGGCGACAGCAAGACTTCTTCACACCACGTCGGGACAATATTGTATGTCAATGCCTTGAAATAGGCATTGTACAACTGTCGGTTTGAGACTATATTTCCAACATATTTACGTCAGTGATGTGGCCCCTAGCATAAAGATTTTTTTCATGGTTTGTTCCTTCTGATGCACTTGATAATTGCATGTTCGTAATTATAAAGCTTGTCTAATAGTCTTTCAAAGGTATTATTAACTTTCGAGACCCACTTTTTATCAGCCTATCTCATTCCTGGGCATTAACGTTTCACCATACCCGTCTTTATGTTGGCACGTATGCTCGCTGGTTTTTCTTTATATCACAGGAGATAAACTCTTATTGAACACGACACATACATGTTGTATCGCTAAACCATAAAAAAAAACATCGGCAGTGATGCGTGTAGCGTCACTGTATTGTAACTTGAATGCGACTTTAAAAAGCGGTGTTTATCCAATTTTGTGCTTTAATGCACCTGAATAAGCGGCGTCGTTTTAAAATTAATTGTAGAAACAAATTTAATAGTAATACCACAATCATAGGAAACATGCTAATTATGGTATATTACATTTATCTAAAAGGTGAGCCGTAATACGCATTTTCAGGTTACATTGGACAACTTTCATGTTGCAATTTTGCACTATTTTACTGTTTTTCTGTCAGACAGATGAGATAACACGTAGGTGTTTATTTTTTTGCGCCTATCATTATTAATTTGAGCTCTATAATTTTGGACAATAAATGCGTGCCATGTAAAGTGATCAATGTGACATTTTGCATTACTTTTTTTTTAAGGTGAAAAAGGTGCGAATAAGCATGGGGAGGTTAAGGAGACACGTACTTGGAAGTGCACTGAGAGGCAGGAAGAGCAACTCATGGAACAGGGAACAAACGCAAATCCGATACATCACATTGACGATTGGGGAACGTGAGCGGGCTGGGGCAGGATGCGTTTCGCTCGGAGAGACGTTGGCCGATGAACATGGCTGGTGACAGAATGGCAGCCAAAGGAGAGAAACGTGCCGCTAGGGTGACCGGCGTCGAGATGGAGCAATGAGATCAGCTCATGCTCAGGAGCGAGACGGACCGTGGCGTCGCACGACGCCGAGGGATGCCAACGGCATCGGCAGTGGATAGGAAATGGCCGATGGCGACGATCGATTTTGTTTTGCTGTAACTGAAGTAGCATGCTTATGAAGTATCCCCTCAATACAACAGTTGCTAAAACGCCACCATGTATCGCTCTGTGTTGGCGAGTTGTGGTGGCAGAAGTGAAACTTGGCACACCTTCAGTGTGTTGGCTTAGTTAAGCACGGTGTCTGTTGGAGTGGTTCATGCTTGTGTGTGTGTTTATATATATATCGCATTCGCATGAACCATGTGGACATCGCAGTTTCAATTGTCATTTGACAATTAACATAGCACTGTGGTATGTGCAGGAATGGCGTAGCCTCACGTAATGATGCATCGGGAAGGTGGTTATTATGACAGACTGATATACAATGAATTGTAATGTGAAAAATAGCAACAACAACAACAACAACCTCAGCATTGATATTCACACGCTTCTCAACTTGTTCGCATTTCTGAACATTTCTTCCACCACACGCAGCCGCGGTAGAATGCCTGCAAACCAGACGGGACTTATTTCTGTATTTGAAGTTATTGCGTTTTGGCTTTCCATGAAGCAGTTGTCGAGGGCTTCTCACTCGTACGGATCTTATTTAACCAACACCGAAATCAAGAAGCAATACGCGTGCACTTGTAGACGTATACGTTGCGTCGATGGTAATGCCACTGCTTTGCATCGTTCGTGTGTGGCGCGGCACCGATTGTAGGCTGCGATTTCGCTGAAGGCTCACGTGCATTTGCCTCTAATTTCTAGAGGCGCACTTAGAACAGAACGGCATTCCATGCATGGCAGGAAGAGCGGCGTTTAAGTGCAGCGAGTTTCTGCACCTACTCCCCTCCCCCCGTCCGCGGCAGCTCGACGCCTTAGTGAGGTGGGCCGTACAAAGGAGCATTACTACTAATCGTCTCAGTCATCCCAATCTCCCGGCAATCCTGGGATTAATGAGGCAGCAATTAGCACGAGTCAATATCACCTTCGTTATTAGATGGGAGAAATAAATATTCTATTAAAGGCGTCCCCAGGGGAGCCCAGTTCACTGTGTCACTGCGACGCTGTAATTAACTTTAATTTACACGCACGGGCAACGAAGGTCAGTGCTCTCGCCACAAATTACTCGCCGATTCTGTTAGAGCGCGGGACAGGCACGGAAAATGACAACATTCAATATCCCATTATCATGCACGGTCTGCAGGACCGTGCAGCTCAGTTTGCAGTATGGCAGATTTCTTGCCCAGTAATTGAATTTTTATTTTCATGTTCATGTGCTGACGCTTTCTGTGTTTTATTTTATGCGATCGGACTTGCGCATCGTTTTTTTTTTTTCCCCACCGTACTTATTCTTATCCGTAACTATGTGAGTTTGTATAGCTCCTAAACATTAGTTGACTGATTGCATGTAAGCGTGATCTTGTAGAGCGTGGTTTTCAATGGAAGAAGCTAAACCTATTTAAGGAGTTTGTAAATAGATGAACTTTGCAAACATAAGAATGCTTATTATGGATGGTGTTTGAAACAAGCGACACATACAACACGGTTATGATCTACAAAAGCGTTTGTGTAACAGCATTTAACACACAGGTAAAAATCGCTGCAACGTCATTTTGTGTTGTGTGCCGATAAATATGGATAATTGGAATATTGTGGTAATTAATTTACACTTTAATTGGCACATATGAAGGACTTCGGTGTTGTCCTTTCTGGAGAAATGGCATGAAAAAGTTGCAGTTTCTTAATTCCTTGTGCAGGCAAGAGTCATGCTTTTTATTATTGTGGAATCATTCTGCGAGAGTCGGTAATGGGGAATTAACATATTCCAATTAAAACTGCAGTTCAGAAGCTAAGAAAGGAAGAACAAGTACATACATTTATACTTTAATGGCAGAGGTACACAGTGAGGAAGTATAACATGTGTGGTGGGGTCAAAGACGAGCGTTAATTCTGGAAGTTATATAGTAAGTGGGCTCATTTGCTCCTGAAACATTGCTTTGCACTTTTTTCAAATCTCCAACTTACTCAGCTGGTGAGTTACTTATTTACGTAAACATGTCTACTTGAGGAAAATAAAGTTCAAAATATCCATGTAGTGGGGAGCGGTAGCGTAGCCAGTGACTTTTATCTGTACCGGTTCTGGGCCTCCCCTTGGGCGACTCAGCCCCAAATGAGTAGCTGGTTGCGGTGTGTACAATCTCTCCCGACTGGAGAGACAAAGGTGGCCGGG